CATTTCAGAAAAAAATTCATCTTTGAATAATCTCTTTAGTGTAAGTATTTCCCAAACACTGCATAGGTCATCCCCCCAAAAGTCACTCGTGTCTGTCTGAGATGTACCTCTCTGAGTTTTCCGTGCCCAGCCTGGCAGCCCATCCTGGGGGCACAACCACAGTAGCTGAAAGAGGAGGCTGGGGGCACCCGCAGCCTCACCAGCCAGCCTGGCGGGCGGAACCTGGATAAAGAGGTACGCTAGCCCCACGTCCCACCCTCCCTCTGCCAGGCACACATGGAGATCACTGCTCAGAAACCAGCCGCACCCAGGCTCAGCACGGTCCCGCTGAGATCAGCACCAGGGAAAGGCCTGCAGGGAGACGAGCAAGCAGCAGACCTCAGCAGCCAGCCTACCGAAGTGGCCCCCAGAGGCATGACTGGGTCCCCCAAAAGCCAAGCAGCCCAGCCCACAAAACCTGCATGACTCCTCTCACAGCCAGTACTTAACAAACACGTGGTCAGGATGAGGAAAGACCTCAAAACACAGAGCCCCAGCTCAGCCAATGAGTCAAGCCACACCTGGGAGGAAAGGTCTGAAAAGTCACATCTGACAGAGGACTGTCACTCAGAACATACACAACCACTGAAAACTCAACAATAAGGAGATAGTCTGATTAAAAATAGGCCAAAGATCTGGACATCTCCCCAAAGAAAACATTCAGGTGGCAAACAGCATACGAAATGATGTTACATGTCATTTGTCATCAGGAAGAGGAAATTAAAACAAGCCCCACTGCACACCTATCAGGATGATCAAAATCCAGAACACTGACACCACCCAAGGCTGGTGAGGATATGGAGAAATGGGAACGGTTTGCTTATTGTTGGCGGGAATGCAAAATGATACCGCCACTTTGGAAGACACTTTGGTGGTTTCTTATAAAACTACACATAATCTTACCTTATAGTCTAACAATCACACTCCCTGGTATTTACCTAAAGAAGTTGAAAACTAACCTCTACACAGAAAACCTGCATATAGATGTTTATAGCACCTTTAGTCATAATCACAGCAATCTGGAAGCAACAGCAAGTCCTTCGATAGATGAATGGATAAACTGGTACATGCAAACAACAGAGTATTAGTCAACACTAAAAGAAATGAGCTATTAAGCCCTGAAAAGACATGGAGGAAATGTAAATGTATATTACTAAGTGAAAGAAGTCAGTCTGAAAAGGCAGCATACTCTGTGATCCCAACTATGTGACACTCTGGAAAAAGGGAGACTATGGAGACAGTTTCTGATCCGAAAAGATCCTTTCAGTGGTGGTGAGGGGTAACGAGGGAGGGGGAACAGGTAAAGCACAAAGGACAGTTCGGGACAATGACACCACTCTGCATGATGTTACAGTGGGACATTCGTCCAATCTCATAGAAAGCCCAGCACCAAGAGTGAGGCCTAATGTGAACTAAGGACTCTGGGTAATTTTGATGTCAATATAGGCTCATCAATTGTAACTGATGTACTACTTTGAAGGAAGAGGCTGATAATGGCGGAGGTTATGCATGTGTGGGAGCAGAGAATATATGAGAAATCTCTGCCTTCTCCATTTTCCTACTAACCTAAAACTGCTCTAAAAAGTCTTTCCTTTTTTATTTTTGGCTGCACCACATGGCTTGCAGTATCTCAACTCACCAACCAGGGACTGAAGCCAGGCCGTGGCAGTGAAAGCCTAGAATCCTAACCACTAGGCCACCAGGATACTCCCTTGAAGAGTCTACTTTAAAAACCAAAACCCAAAGTTTTGTCTGAGGGATGGTGCTACATTCGGGAAACAAGATCAGGGTGCACTGAGGAAGGATCAGCTCAAGGATGGGAAACTAGAAGCATGACAGTTTCAATGAAAAATTCCAGGGCGTTCCCTCCTGGCCTAAGTGGTTAGGATTCCGGACTTGCACTGCTGTGGCCCAGGTTCAGTCCCTGGTCATGGAACTGAGATCCCACAATCCGCACAGCACAGCCAAAAAGGAAGAAAAAGAAAAACTGGAGACAGGATACAGAGAAAATGCCAGGCAGAGCAACCATGAAGAAAGCAGGAAGGCCACAGGCTTCCAGGCGGGACACCAGTTGCCAGCGTGTCCCCTTCCCTCAGAGAGCAGACCTCAGTGCGATCAGATGTAGGCAAAAAGTCAAGAGCAACCAGGAGGGGAAGGAGCACATCTCATGAACAACAGCAGGCGTCAGACCCGAGACATATCCCAGTAGAAACATCAGGGTCAGCGGGAGGCCAGAAGGCTCAGCACCCCATGCCCCAGCGTGGAACTGAGAGAGAGGAATCTGGGCATGGTTTACCCAGCCCCCAGGCCCAAGAGCAGCCGTCTGAGGGGGGAGTTCTCATGTCTCCCCTCCTCCAACTGCTCACCAGTGGGGCCACTAATTCAGGCTGTCTGTCTCTGATGGAATGAGGACCCCATCCCACCCACTGGAGTTGCACACCCCACAAAGGACTGAGCTGGAATCTCAGAAGAGCAACCAGGGTCACGGGACATCATCACGGTGAACTCCGATTCCCTCAGCACAGATAGCAAGTGGCACACCAACACCCCGCTCTCAGGAGTGAACAGAGAGAAAAGCAAAGTCCTCCACAGTGCAGATCACAGCACGCACAGTGCCTAGAGAGAACTGCCACGTGTATGCCTGCTGACAAGAACTGATGGCCCAGCAGCTAAGCAAAAACACGCCAAACCAGAGGAAGAGATTTAAAGATTAAAAAAAAAAGAACTAGAAACAGAAAAATATTTATTTTTTACACTGTAGAGTGACTTATCAGGATATAACTTCATTATAGGAAGAATGCAAAGGCAGAAAGATATAAAGGCAGACTGGAGATTCAAGGAAGAAAACTGAAGGACCAAAACACCATTACAACACTGATAAACTAAAAACTGAAATGACCATTATAGGGGCTACTGAATGTTACAGACATGGAGGACTTAAGATAATCAAAGAATCTAGTTTTTAAAAGAGGTTAAGCAACTACTGGGAAGAAAATAATTACATAAAACAGATAATGACAATGGTATTTCTGAAAGAGGGGACACAGAGCAGGGACCACACATGTATTCTGTAAAAGACCAGACTGAAAATAATTTAGGTGTGAGGGCACACAATCTCTACCACATTATTACATTATTATACTTTTACCATTGGAAAGCAAAAGTAGCCACAGAGTATATAAACAAATGGGCATGTAGCAGTCATGCAGTCAAACTTTATTTACAGAAACAGAGTTGGATCTGCCCAAGGGTCATATTTTACTGATCCCTGTTCCAGAGTCACAGAGCTCACCAAGCGCCTAGCAACACGACATGAAAGAAGACCCAAAATACAACACATCATCATGACACAAGACATCAGGATGAAGATAAGCCCCTACGAGAATCCAGAGAAAAACCAGTCACACACAAAGGCTCAGAAATCAAACAACACTAGCCTTCTTGACAACAATGCTAGCAGCTGCAAAACAGGTTGTGGTTTCAACGTTTTCTGGGACAATTTTCAGCGGAGTTTTAAGACCAGCCAAGTTATTGGGTATGGAGAAGGAAATGGCAATCCACTCCAGTATTCTTGCCTTGAGAATCCTATGGACAGAGGAGTCCATGGGGTCACAGAGAGTCCGACACGACTGACTTGACTGACTCACTCACACATAACACACAAGTTATGGAGTCCGCTTAGGTATCCTACCTCTCTCTCAAGAAGCCACTAAAAAATGTACTCTACCAGCAGGCAAGAAGTACTTAGGAAGATGCAGACAAAAACCCACAACAGAAGAGGGACAGGAGAGTTTCCCGGGCGGCCTCGGGCAGAGCAACAACCTGGAACTGCGTTAAGAGGTTCTAGAGAAACCAAGTCTGAGAAAGCTAAGGAAGTGAAAACGGAAATCTGTACAGGACACCAAACGTTAATACCACTGAATACGGAGAGATTTGGGAGAGAAATGCGTGGACACTAGAGAACTCAGGAAGCAGTGGTACAAGCCAGTGGCACGGAGGTTGCTCCCTGCAGTGTGGCTGCTTTTCCGTGCAGAGGGTTTGAGCGTGAGCAGAGGCCAGGCAAAGTGCTCCCAGGCGACACTCGCTGTCGCCGGCCCATCCCTCGGAGCTGGCTCCAGCCCACCTACGGCTGCCTTCCCCCAGGTACTCACCCCTCTGCCCGCTGTGCGGGTCTCCTAGTGCCTACCCTGGGCGCTCCTTCCGGCCTCAGGTGCCCTCTCTTGGGGGCTCACCTCGGCCCACCCTGTGCACAGATTCCCAGATGTTCCTTCCCCTGGACGCCCTGCCGTGCATGTTCTTTCCTGGATGTCCGTCCCGAGCTAGTGGTAGTCTTCCCCCAGGTACCCCGCCTCTGGATGTCGTTAGTTCTGCCTTCTGTCCGCCCCTCCCCAGTGTCTGCCTCTGCCCTAGGGGCCCACCATAGAAGCCCACCCACCCAGGTCCTCTCAGGCCCGCTCCCGGGTGCCCTTCCCCCGGGGGATACCGCGACCCCAGGGGCCAGTCCTGCAAAACGCTCTCACCCGTAGAGAATGACGTCATAGAGAGTGCGTCCCTGCACATTGAGAAAGTGGGCGTAGCCCGCTCGGGCCGAAGTTGACGCCTCGCCAACCGCAGGACCCGGAAGCGGCAGCTCATTGGTCAGCAGACCTAGGAGAAAGGGCGCCGAGTCCGGCCCGCGCACGCGCACTAGGGCACGCTCGCCCAGCAGGAAGCAGGCCCATGTTGCGCCGCTGGCGGAGTCAGCGCTCTGACAGCAGCCACTGTGAGCCAGGTGGCGCCTCGGGGCCGCGCGCAGCCGCCAGCTCCAGGCCGGGCCGCCGCACCCTGGAGCCGCACCCCTGAGCAGTGCCGCGGCCGCCATCTTGGGGAGGAGTGAGGCGGCCCGCGCAGCAGCTCGGGCACGGGCGCCACAGCGGCCCCTGGCTGCTGACGGACGGAACGTGCGCGGGGCGGGGTGTGCACGAGCATGCGCGGGCTGGGGCCACAGCGGCCCCTGGTGGCGGGCGAGCGTTCCCTGCCGGAGAGGCCAGAGTGAAGGTGGGCGGGGCGTGCGCCCGGGCGAGGCCTCGGGTTGTCGGCTGCACACCCATCTTAGGCTGACTTCTCCTGCAAGTTGGCCTGCCCCTCAATTCTCAGAGATGTTTCCACTTGCTTTATCGTGTTGAGCCGCGCATAACCTGAACTTGACTATCTTTTCCATTTTGGGGTGCACATTTCTGAGGCATTGAGTATGTTCACACCGTTTTGCAGTCATCCCCATTATCCAGAATTTTCTCATCTTCCCAGACCAAAACTCCGCCCCATCAAATGAATACCCCTGTCTCCCTTCCCAGACCCTGGGAATGCCAGTCCAGTCTGTCTCTATGAACCTGACACCTCTGGGAAACTCATGGAAGTGGAGTCATGCAGTATTTGTCTTTTGTGACAGGCTCCTATCTACCAGGTTCCTCCATGATGTAGCATGTGTCAGGCTTTGTAAAGGCTGAGTGATAGTCCATTGTATATGTATGTATGTGTTTGTATACACACACACACACTACATCTGGATTATCCATTCACTCATCGATGGGACATTTATGTTGCTTGCAACACACAAGGACTTCTTAGGTTGCTCAGACAGTAAAGAATCTGCCTGCGATGCAGGAGACCTGGGTCAGGAACATTCCCTAGAGAAGGGAATGGCAAACCCTCTCCAGTATTCTTGCCTGAAGAATTTCATGGACAGAGGAGCCTGGCAGGCTAATGTCCATGGGGTCTCAAAGACTCGGACACCTCTGAACAACTAAGACACACACTCTTGCACACACCATGAACACAAGTGTGCAACTCTACTTTCAGTTCCTTTAGTTATTGTGTAGAACTCACACTCCTGTGTATCTTATACTCTGGCACTGTCCATTTCTGACACTTCTGATCACTAAATGTGGCGGGGAGAGGGGGGGAGTTCCCCACATGACACAATTTTCTGGTACCAGCTGTGTGTTTTATACTTTAACTCAATTTTTAATCCATCTACCTGGAGATAACATCAGATCCCATTAGACTGTGCGTGCACACAGACACATACACATTTTCCCACCCCTTGCCTTCAGATGCCAGTCAAAGTCCAAGTTGCACCTGTGCTTCTGGTCAGCCAACTATAGATCAGAAGTTCCAAAAAGGCCCCTCCTTGAGCTCAATTATTTTGCCAGAGTGGCTCACAGAACTCGAAGAAACTGTTTTCTTACCAGATTACTGATTTATTATAAAAGGACATAACTCAGGAACAGTCAGATGGAAGAGGTGCAAAGGACAAGGTATGTGGGAAGGGGTATGGAACTTCTCTGCCCTCTGAGCACAACCCACTCTCCCTAAATATCCATGTGTTCCCCAACCAAGAAGCTCTCTAAACCCAGTGCTTTTGGGGTTTTATGGAGGCTTCATTACAGAGAGATGAGTGATCAAATTATCAGCCATTGGCTGTTGATGCACCTGCAGCCCCTCACACCTTCCCAGACGTTGAAGTGGGGCTGAAAGCTCTAACCTCTAATCACAAAGTTGGTTCTCTAACCTCTGATCACAAGGTTGGTTCTCCTGACAACCAGCCCCCATCCTTAGGTGCTTTTCAAATTACCGTATTAACATAAAGGAGCTCCCTAGGGTTTCCCAGGCCCTTGATCCCCTCCCAGCTGGCTTCCTGGTTGTGACCAGTCAGGTCTGGAATGTGGTTTCACTGGCCTTTCATGGAAAAGATCGTGCTCTGCTGAGCCTGTGTTCCAAGGGTGACCTAGCACCTCCCTGCCAACCCTGTTGAGGGCAGGGAGGAAACCACTCGAGGACAACATGGGATGGGGGGTGCATTCCTCCAGCCTCACGTCACCCCATCCCTTGGCCAGCAGAAAACATGCTTCCCACCAGCACGACCCGCAGGAAGGGCCAGCAGACTGACCCCGAGCCACCTGGAGCCTTACCCGACCTTCCCAGCCCAGTGCCAAGCTCCGCCCACTTGGTTGAGCGGGGCTGCTGCTGCCACCAGGAACGGTTTAAATGCGATTTAACTCAAGTGAAGTCGAGTGAAACTTAGCTCCTTACTGCATGGGCCACAGTGAAATGTCCAGAGCCACACTCTGCTGGTGGCGGCCTCTGTGAACAGAGCAGGCAGCACCTCCCACTATTCTAGAGTCTCCCAACCAGCATGCTCCAGGCTCCCTCCAGGAAGCCTTTCCAGGACTCTGCAGCAGCCTGGCCAGTCTGACAGCAGGGCCACCTGCACCTAGGCCCTGCCTGGCTACTCCTCTGGTCCTCTCTCTGCGGCTTCTCGTGCCTACAAGTCTGGGTGGAGGGAACTGGAACTGGCCTCAGGGTGCCCTCAGAGAACCCCACTCACTGGCCTGGGTCCAGCTGGGGGCTTAGGTTGCTGCTAGATCCCATGCACAGCCTCCTCCCTCTGAGGCCACAGGTCCTGGAGCTGTCGGATGGGTGAGGATCTAAGTGCTAAAAAATAAGCAGCCCTGGGGGTCCCAGACCCTGTTTCCCAGCTGGTGCCAGCCAGGGGTGGTTTCCTGTTATTCTCTCCTCATGGCCTCCTCCCTTCCCAAAGTCAGAAGAAGGAAGCTGCCCCCGTTCTGGTTACCCCCTTCCCTGCAGCGCTCCATGAGCTCCCTGAGCAGCCGGTGAGTTGGCTCCAGCCGTGGAAACGGATGAGAATGAGACAAGGTCATTCTGCCTGATCCTGCTCCAGCCACTTTCCTGGCCTGTCCCTGCCCCTGTGCAGACCTGGGTGGGCCCCACACAGCCTGAGGACCCCAAGAGGCAGTGAAGCAGGGTTGGGATGACCTCGGCTCCACACACCAGCCTGCTCCAGAGCAAAGAAGGTGAGGGATGAGCTCTCCATCCTCATGGCCATCCAGGCACCGAGAGGCACTGCTTTTTTAAGTAGTTAAGTGAGCATTAAGTGCCAAGTTTAGTGGTTGGGCTCCACCTCTGAGAATCTTAAATACTATGTCCTAGGTAGGAGATGGACATCCTGTTAAAATACTGGAGTGAGCCCATGATATCATGGTTATGACTGTCCAGAACATCAAGAAATTGGGGTATGACGCTGAGATGGCTAGTGACTTCAATTGGGAGGACATGACTAAATCCTAAGGCACCCCCATCAGAAGCTCACGAAACATACAGGACCGCAGTGGTGCACCCGGGCCCCTAAGTTCCTGAGACAGGAGGCCTATGCCTTAGGATCCCTTCTGTGGTGATTGAGCTTTTAGTTTGACATCCACCTTCTAATGTGGGTTGCACTGCATCTCCCCAAACTCACATCTTGGAGCCCTAATTCCCAGGACCTCAGAATGGTGCTGTGTTTGGAGATGGGACCTTTAAAGAGGTGGTTAAGGTAAAATGAGGTCCCTGGGGTGCACCTTAATCCAATAGACTAGTGTCCCTGTAAGAAGAGGAAATGAGAGCAGACACACGGAGGGAGGACCGGGTGAGGGCCCAGGGAGGAGACAGCTGCCTACATGCCAAGGAGAGGGCCCAGGTACCGACACTGGTCTCGGGCGTCCGGTTTTCAGTACCGTGAGAAGGAAATGTCTGTTTTTTGAGCACCCAGTCGATGGTATTACACAGACCAAGGTACTTTGCAGAGTAGCGACTCTATCTGCAGCTTTCCTCACAGCTGGTATGCTCTTGATAGTCTTTGGCTGATGGGCTGTGTATTACTTGAGGTTCTCCAGAGAAACCAACTCCATGGACGTGGGTTTGAGTGGACTCCGGGAGTTGGTGATGGACAGGGAGGCCTGGCGTGCTGTGGTTCATGGGCTCGCAAAGAGTCGGACACGACTGAGCAACTGAACTGAACTGAACTCTACAGAAACAGAACCAATTCAATATACACAGAGGAAGAGACTATAAGGAATTGGCTCACTCAACTGTGGAGGCCAAGAAGTCCCCAAATCTGCCATCTACAAGCTAGAGACTCAGGAGAGCCCGTGGTGCAGACCCAGTCTGAATCTGGTCTGAAGATGAGACCAGTGTGCAGGCCCAAGCCATCAGGCAGGAGCTCTCTCTTACTCTGCCTTTCTGTTCCTCTCAGGCCTTCACCTGACTGGACAAGGCCCACCCTCACTGAGGCCCATCTGCAGATCCAGAAGCACCCTCACAGACACACCCAGGATCATGCTTGTTCTGGGCACCCCAGGACCCAGTCAAACTGACATAAACGTGAGCCTCACTGGCTGTCTGGAGACTGAATCACTTCTTTGGGAACCTGCCTTTGCCCTTAAGGGAGCAAAGATTGGATAAGGGCCACGCACACCAGGGAGGAGGGTCTGTTTTATCAAAGTCCATGGATTGTTGATGTTAATTTCATCTAAAAACACACGCCCACCCCAACATCTAGACTGGTGTTGGACCAACACACTGCACACAGACTCACAGGCTGAGCCTACCTGACTTCGGTGTCACAGGCACACAGCAAACAGGCTTCCCAGCAGCCCCTGGGCAGACTCCTCCTCCTGGTGACCCGAAAGCCTCAAGCTGCATCGGAGCCAGTTAGGAGTGGGAGGGCTGAGATGATGGACACTGGACAGGCCACACGGTAGAGGGGGAATTGTGGACTGATACCAGAGCTGTGGCAAAAGAAGGGGGCAGTGTCTGCACAGGCCCTGAGCTCACACGTGGTGGGGGGCTGTGCTGAGCTTCACACCTGGCTAGGGGGCTTGCAGAAACTATTCCGTGTGCCCTTACAGTGTGACACTGGCCCATTGAGATGGATCCTGCGGGCCTATGACTCCTGTGATATGAAGTGACGTGCCTTCAGGGATGGTGATAAGAGTCAGTTGGCCATTGCTGGGCAACTATGCTCTAAGGAGGTCCGAACCACATCAAGGGACCCCAGCATGGACCCCCCAGCTCAGTGAGTGAGGAAATCTTTAAGCCAGCCCTGGCCCCACCAGGAAGTCCAGGCTGCAACTACACCAGGGAATCAACTCGAGTTAGAGAGGGTGAGATCCTGATGTCACTTTATTCATGAAGAGCCCAGAGAATGAGGTCCTGACCCCTTGAGCATGACCTAAAGCTCCCTCTCTGTGGGTGGGAGGAGGCTTCCCTGGACACTGTCACAATAAAATCAAGAATGTTCTTCCCAAACACAAACCTGCCCAGGGTCTCTCTGTCTGCTGACATAAGGCTTCTTTTCAGGCAGATGCTGAGTGCTCATGCCCCACCTTCCACCCCTTATGGGACCCTGTCACCATCACAGCCTTGAGATGTGGGACCATTGACCTTCAGGATTGAACCAACCTCTGAGCCCTGCTGGAAGTGGACACCTGGCTTCCTCACCAGCCCTCTCCAGACACTAGGGTGGTTCTGAACCCTGAAGTCTCCCACCATTCCCCACCTGGAATGCCCACTCATCTCCCTGAGGTCCTGAGGTCCTGCAGGGCCTCCACTGGCTGCAGGATGCTGTCCTCAGGGAGGCTGTGGAGGGGCCACGGCAAGGGTGTTCACCCACAATGGTGCCTTGCAGATATCCTTCACCAGCTGTGCTTCTCACTGCCTCCAGTCACCCTGATAGGAGCCAGACATGGCTGGACGGCATGTTCCCCACCACAGAGATGCCGTCTTCCTCGTGACCACTGTGTAACAAGCCCAAATCCAGGGCTGCCAGATCCATAGACTTGCCTCTCTTGGGGAGGTAAATGGTGAATCCCTGCTCTGGATCTGGGTTCACTTTCCCTCTGAAGCTCTGCTTCCAGCACGGACATCTGGGACTTCATGGGGGTGGGGCTTACCTGGGGCCAAGGCTCACTTGGCACCTCGGACCAGTCAGTCAGACCCCACAAGGGAAAGAGACTCAGTCTGCATCTGACCAGAGGCAGACTAGGCTGGGGTTCATCTGGGCTTGGTGATTGGCCCTGGGACCCCAGAGAGGGTTTGCAGCCTGAGAGAACCTCTCAGGGTCTGCCGTGGGCTGGAGGGAGACTGGGAGACACCAGGGGTCACTGAAGTCTAGGCCAAGGTGGCTCCTTGCTGGCAGCAGCTGTTTTCCCTACTGTGCTCACCGTTGCTCCCCACAAAAGCTACCACTGCAGGCTTTGGCCAGCATCTGGATAATGCCAGGGCCAGAGACAGGACTGCCCCTCTGTCCTTTGAGCTACCACCTTGGGCTCTAAGCATGCACACCTGGCTGTTCTTTGTTCTCCTTCAGCCGCATCCCTCTCCTCTGGGCCAAGCCTGTTGCCTGGCACAGAGTGGTACCCGAGCATTCCGGGGGCTGCAGGGGCTCAACCTGGCCCTTGCTCCCTGGATGGTCCCTGAAGAGTGGTTTCCTTTCCCACTCATCCTCAAGTTGAGCCATGTGTCCCAAGGCCAGTGGTGGACATGTACACACAGTCATAGTGTATACTCAGACACATACACACACCACACCCCACATGCATACAAGCACACACACACATGCACGTGTGGCTGTAAACAAAAGTTAGTTTTATTTCACTCCCTTTGTTTTGGAGGCTGTGTCTGAGTTGGAGAGGGGGCTGGAGGGAAGAGGCTGTGGCAGGAGCTTCAGAGTCCCTTCCCTCTGCGTGGCCAAAGTCATAGCCCCTGACCACCACCCTGTTGGTCTGAGTGGCAAGGGAGGCCAGTGTCTTTTCAGAATTTCAAGTATGTGCCCAAGGAAGGGGCCACGCCAGGCCAGCACAGAGCTGGAGAGGGCATGGTCCCATCCACCCCAGCCCATGCAAGGCCTTAGCCCCAGGTCGGTCTGGGCGGGAAGCAGGAAGCAGGGCGCAGTTCCACCTGCATTCAAGGCAGCTCATATTTGGGACCTGGTGGGGGTGAGGCATGAAGCAGTGCCAACCAGCACTGGCTGCAGCCTCTGACCACCGTGCTCACTGTTTTTCCTTCTATGCCAGGGAGACCTGGCATTGCCTCTAGCTCTGCAAGAACCAGAGCATGGACTAGAAGAGTGTGGGTGCTAGGGAAAGAACCCCATTTGCTAGGCAGGGAGTGGGAATAAGCACAGAACCCCTCAAACACCCAAGCCAGGCGCCCTTGGGCAGTCACGCCCTGGCTTCTGCAGGGAAGCAGGGCTGGAGTGGGTGGAGCTCCTGCCTGGGGGCCCCCTTGTCCTGAGGGGGCCAGCTGGGTGGCTCTGGGAGGCGGGCAATGCCCCAGCCACAGTCCTATCCCCCACCAGGGCTTATGGGTCAGAGGTGGGGACCCTTCTTGGTTCCCAGGCTGCCCACCCTACCCTGGAGGAACACAGGGCTCAGGCAGGGAGGGGTGATGATGCAGAGAAGGTCAGTGCCCTGTACCCCTCCGGAGGGGGTGAGCAGCCGGCTGGGGAAGAGGAGGGCAGGTTGTGTTCTGCACCTTAGGTGGTGTCCAGCCCCTCCCTAGAAGCCCCTGCCTCCGCCCTGGGGAGAGGGAAGATGCAGAGCAGCCAAGGGGAGGCCTCAGATCCACACGGTGGTCTTACCCTCCCTGCTGCTGCTCCCACTGCCCTTCTCTGAGCCCATCCTGGGTTTGATCCCCTGCCGACCCTGGCCCCCCACAGTGCCCCCTGATGTGCCACTGCCCGACCCCGACGCAGGGGCGCCAGCCTTCGGGGGCCCCCGGGCGTTCACTGGGAGGCCCGGGCCGGGTGGACTGTCGAGGTCCCCAAGTGCCCGCCGGTCCTGCAGCGCCTGCAGGGCCAGGCTGGCCAGGTCCTGGTCCTGGGCGCGTGCGCGCTCAGCCGTGCGAACCACCAGGCTATAGTCAGGCGGACAGGCTAGGCCTGAAGGCGCAGCGGGCAGAGCGCAGGGAGGCGGGCGGGGCATGGCGCCGGGGGAGGGGGGCAGTGGGCGGCGGCCGCGCACAGCGTCTTGCGCGCTGCCGAGACCCAGGTGCGCCATCTCACAGAGGTTGAGCAGCAGACAGAGGCAGCTGACCACGTACATGACCAGCAGGAAGACCGTCTTCTCAGTGGGCCGTGACACGAAGCAGTCAACCACATGGGGACAGGGCTGGCGGCTACATGCGAAGAAGGGCCGCACCTCAAAGCCGTACAGAAGGTACTGTCCCACCAGGAAGGCCACCTCGAAGGCGGCCCGCGCCACCAGCTGGGCCACGTACACGCGCATCAGGCCCTCGCGCTGGATGCGCCGCCGCCCGTCATGCTGGCCCGCGGGACCCGGGGCCGCAGCCACCTTGGCGTCCCCTCCTGCGCCCTTGGCCGCCCCCGTATCCTCGGCCTCGTCCTCCTCACCCAGGCCCTCGGCCACTCCCGGGTCTTCGTCCTCTTCGCCCAGGCCCAGCATGGGTTCCTCAAAGGCGTCGTAGCAGACGTTGTCGCAGCCGGGCTGCCGCGTGTTGCACGTGAACTTGGTCTGCTCGTCGGAGTAGATGGACTCGCCGCCCACGGCGGTGAGCACAATGCGGAAGACCACCAGCACCGTGAGCCACACCTTCCCCACGAACGTGGAGTGGTTGTGGATCTCTTCCAGCAGCCGCGTCAGGAAGCTCCAGCTCATGTTGGTCATAGGGGCGGGGGATAAGACCTGCAGGTCACCAGCAGGAGCTCAACCCTGGGCAAGGACAATGGGGGCAAGGGCTGATGGGGTGTGGGGGGGATGGACAGTAGCACCCAGAGCCCTTCCAGGAGTACCACTCACACCCCACGTCCTGACCCTGCCCTAGGATGGCTACAGGGAGAGGCTGGGGCCTGTGCAGCCAGAGGACAGACCGTACAAGGACAGACGCTGGACCACCTTGCTGAGCATGTGCCCTGGCTGCTCCAAGACCTGGCCCCAGGCCTCTGTGGCCTGGAGCAGGGCCATTCCCTCCTGCCCGCCCCCACCCTGCAGGAAAGCAGGGCCCTGGGCAAGACATGCGCAGCCCCCAGCCTGTGGGGACCCCACCCCAGGCCCTGAGAGCAACAGGGAGTCCATCAGGTGAGCTGCCTCAATAGGGGCAACCAGAGAGCAGAGCAGCCTCACTGAAGCATCTGGGCCTCAGCTCAGGCGCCTGCTCCCACCTGCAGCACCCCAGTTGCTGGAGTCCTGTCTCCAGTGTGCCAGGGGTCCACCAGGGGCTGAGCCCCCACTCCGCAGCCACTCCAGTCCCCATCAGCCTGCAGTTCCCCAGCCCCAAGTCCCAGTGGCCCCCCTTCAGCCTCCGGCGTCCCACTGCTTCCCCATCATACCCGGATCCCATCCACCTCCAGGCCCAGTGGCTCTGTCAGCCTCCAGCCCCCAGTTCCAGATCTCCCAACAGCACCCCCTCCCAGCTCCCACTGCATCCTGAACAGGATGTTCACTCAGGATCGTGGCCATGCTCCCCCCACCCCCACTGGTTCAGCTGCGCCAGGGACTGGTGCCCACCCTCCAGGCTGCGACTCCTCCTCACTGCAGCACGCCCGCGTCCTCTGCACAGCCTGGCTGAGGGCGCAGGCAAGCCCAGGTGTCTGTTCAAGGTGGCGCCATGTGCAGCAAGGCCCTCAAACACCATCAAGCACATGCACAACTACACTTAGGCACCTGAGACACTCAGACAACCCTGTGGCCACTGGCCAGGCCCCGGGCCAGTGCTCCTGTTAGATCAGCTACCCATGAGGGGGCCTGTGCCTAGAAGGGGCTCAGTGGGCAGGAGTGCACACCCCTGTACCCCCGTGCCTCTGGGGAGGGGGCTGAAGCCTCCTAACACCCACCCTCCTTCCTTCACACCAGTACCTGCTCCTGTGCAGTTTGGGGGCTGAAGACCCCTGATGCTTTTGGCCCCCTCTTTCTGGAACTGGCCTGGGAAGCAGCACGGGCAGGTGTGGAATGGAACAGCAGGGGCATTCAGGGCTCCCAGCCCTCTTTATTGAGCTGGGTCCTCTCCCGGAGCAAGGGGTGGGGGCAGGAAGAGGGGGCAGCCGGGATTCCTGGGGAAGTGACCCTATTTCCTTACATCTGTGTGCAACGCCCCTCTCAGAGCCACACACATGCAAACACTCACAGGTATACAAGTGCATACATATGCATACACACAGTCACATGTGCGCTGCACTTGTGTACAGGCACACACTCACAGGTACACAGACTGGCACATGCCCAGCTCTCCAGGCCATGTTTCATATACTTCTGCCTCAAGAATGACCCCCATGAAGGTCTTGCTGAACTCAGCTGGACATTCTTCCTCAGCTTGAACCTCAGCCCTCTTTCAGGACCTGACCCCATCCCTGACCTCAACAGTCCCACATCACAGGAGGCTGGGGCCCACAGCCCTGCTGTGCAGGAACCCAGAAAAGGGACGGCAGAGCAGTCCCGACTTTTCTCCCATCCAAGATGGATGTCAGTGGAGAAACGGGAGGGAAGGTGGTGGTGCCAGGACAATCCCGACCCCCCATGTGTGGTATTTAACAACTGGCTCTTGGTGGAAGAGCCGTGGTGTAGTGTTCACCAATTCCCATGGTGTAAGTGCTCCCACAAGGCCCATGAACAATGCCAGGAGATGCGCACCGGGTCGGGGGCGGGGGGGATTGTTCTCGAGACCAGCTCTAACATGGCACTGGGTGGACCCTACCCTGGGGTGTGGAGGATGGCACTTTGCCCGGGGCGGGCTGACCCGGGTGCAGTTAGAGTCTCCCCAGAGATGAGCCATGCGGAGAAAAGAGGATGCAAGCCTTGCGGGAGGAAACCTCTGCCTTCCCCCAGTGCCAGTGGGGGAGCTCAGGCAAGCTCTGGGTGTGTGGCAGAGGCTCTGGCTCTTTAGATCCAGGGGCCCATGCCTGTGTCACACATGCGGTCACAGCAGGATCTTCCTGTGATCAGGGGGCTGATGCTGACCAGCTCTGGGCACCACCGTAAGAGCCATGCACTGGGGGTTCCCCAAATCCAGACTTCTAGTGCCAGCTGCCACCTCCACATAGGCACATGGATGCCGGTAGGCACAGCAAATCCCAGAAGACCAGTTCCCAAAATTTCCCTCCAGACTGACTTCCATCCCAGGTGGGCTTATACTGGACAGCTCTCTGCCCTGCACTCCGTCTGCTTCATCAGGAGAGACGCTGATCAGACCCGCTAGGCCCTGCAGCCTCTTGGGCCTACCTCGCCTCTGCTGGGCACCTTCAGAAGCCCATCGACCTGTGCTCCTGCGACTCCTCCTGACTTTGGAGTAAAACGCCAAGCGTACCTGGCCCCAGCGCACCAGCAACCCCCTTGCGCTCCCCCACACACGGAAACCACCCCTGCTCAGGCTTCTGCTACTACCCATCCTGGCCAGGCCCACACCCCGCCCACAGCCCGCCCCTCGCCCAGCCCCTCCACTCTCCGAGGCCAGCCCATGACCCTGCCGGGCGTGGTGCTCCTGGGCACTTGGACTGAACCACGGGCGAATGGGGAGCAGGCCCGGGCTCTCACTGTGTGGGGGTCACAGACAAGTGAGAGGAGCGGGCTGGAATGTTCCACACGGTCATGGCTCAGCATTGGCTATGTGGGTCTGAACTCACCTTCAGCTCAGTATGGACAAGAATAGACACGTGCATATACACCATGCCCGTCAGGCCTATATGGAAAAACACCCCACAGCGATGAACACACCTGGGTCCCACTCTCCAATAAAGGAAACTGGGCTAGTGCAGAAACAGCTGGTTGCAGGGCAGCAGCAGGAAATGAGCCTGAAGCATCTCTTGGTGTCAGAGGAAGGAAGTGCTAACACACACACACACACACACACACACACACACTGATGGAGGCGAGTCAAAGGGACACAACGTGGGCGCTGAGGGAAGCGCATGCGTGCACACACACAAATGGAGGCGACTCAAAGGGACACAACGTGGGCGCTGAGGGAAGCGCTCGCGTGCACACACACAAATGGAGGCGACTCAAAGCGACACAACGTGGGCGCTGAGGGAAGCGCTCGCGTGCACACACACAAATGGAGGCGACTCAAAGGGACACAACGTGGGCACTGAGGGAAGCGCTCACGTGCACACACACAGATACACACTGATGGAGGCGAGTCAAAGGGACACAGCGTGGGCGCTGAGGAAAGTAGAGCCCAGTGTCTGAAACCAGATCAATTTGGCCAGTAAAATAAAGTACTGCTGTAGACTGGTTTACAGATTATAGCTCAAGGTAAAAAATATGAGTCCCAAGTGATAAATGATACAGTAACTACGTAAATGGGGGAGCAGGGAACTCTAAATATTCGTGCAGCCTCTGTGGCCTCCAGGAGGGCGTTCCTCCAGAGAGCAGAGCAGGGAGGAAACGAGGGGTGCCTGATAGGCATCAGGCTGTGACAGGGACCCCCACCCAAAGTGAGAAGCCCAGCTGAGAGCACAGAGCTCGCTGCCCCCGGGGCCTTCTTCCCAAACCCTCACCACAGGCAATCATGAGAGATATTGAGATGAGTTTCAGGAGGGGCTTTTACAAACTACCTGACCTTCAAAATCCCAAGGGCACCAGACACTAAGGAAGTCTGAGGAAGTCACCCACAACAGGAGCCAAGGAGACATGGGGACAGTCACCCCTCAGGGGACCTCAGGGGCACACAGGTGGAACGTGAGGCGCCTTCGGTTAATGGCGAAGCATCAATACTGGCGCCGACTGTGACAAGCATGCCACGGGGGCACCAGGTTTGGGGCCAAACAAGACTACCCCCGGTCTCGTCAGTTTCTCTGTAAACCACAGGTGTAAAATAAGAAACCTATTTAAAGGGGCTTCCCACCCCATCACTACAAGCTCCTTCTCCCTATCTTTTCCCATCTGGAATGTATTTCTCTGGGTCTGGAGGCTTCATGTACAGTGCGGGGACTTTCACTGGTGACCAGTCCCAGGGCTATGGGGTACAAGGACCCCAACACAGAGCTGGAGAAGTGGGAGGCAAGGGCCAGGCCCACAGATGCCTGGCGCTAATGGGAGGAGGCAGCCAGCGGGGGCTTAGTCCTGGCTGGGCCAGCAGGACAGGTGTATGAGAGGGTGGGGGCAAGTGTGGGTGGGGGCTGGGCCTGGGAGGGGGCAGTGGAGGGTGGAGTTGGGGGGCGAGGGGTGACTGGGTGGTGAGCAGGGCACACGCTGGTGCTTCCTCTGAAGGGGGCTGGCATCATCTTCACCCAGAGCTGCCTGAGGCACCCTATTGGGAGGAGGGCAGGAGGCGCACACTGTGGGCTCCAGGGGCATCAGGATGACCTGTGCTGGGGTGAGCTGGGCCCTCTACCCCTGGCTCTCGCACCAACAGAGCAGCTTCTGCAGAGGTGGGCAGCTGGGCACTCTCCCCTTCAAGCCCATTCCACCCCTGNCCCCAAGACTGCTCTCCCCACAGCCTGGCCTTAGACGCTCAGATCTCCCCTTGTCAGCTTTGTGACGCTTCTGCAGGTTGTCCTCCACATCCCTGCCCACTCCGGGGCCCTGTCCTAGATGCCCTGGGCATGTCCTACCTGGACTGCCCGGCCAGTGAGGTGTAGACCTCCCCCACCTCAGGTGCCCCGAACCCAGGCCTGGGGCCCCTCTGCCACATTCACCTGCCCCCAGCTACCCTAGTGTACACCACAGCCTCCACACCAGTTAGTGGCCAGGCGCCCCTCCCCGCCACCCACCCCATTTCCCTTCCTGCAGGCACCCTTAGGTGGGGTCCCAGGAAGCCCAGGGCTCTCAGAACAAAATGCATATCCTCATGGGTCCTGAGGGATGACTTCCTGACCTGCTCCTGCCCAATCCAGAGCTGACCAGGTCTGCAGGCCCTCCTCTCACACATGGATACACACACTTACCCATGCATCTGCACTCATCCGTCATCCTCACTCACTCTCTCTCACACATGCATGCGCACCGCCTTCTGCCCTGTACCCCCTCCAGCGGCCTTCCTCTGGGACGTGAGGCTTCCCCACTGCATGCTCAGAAGGAATGGAGCTCTGCCTCAGCACGGGATCTGCTGAGGAACCATTCTAGCCTGGAAGCTGGGAAGCGAGGGGCTTCCTGCATGGGTGGAGGGTGTGGTGGGGAAAAGCCTGGGGAGTGAGTCACGGCAGAGGAGCGGCTGGGACTGCTCCTGCACCGGGGAGTCCGGGCCGCAGAACGCTGGGCTCTGGCAAAGGAAGGTATCAAGAGGAGCAAGGCGGGAGGCTGAAGCAGGACCCCTGCCTGAGCTCAGGGCCCCTCAAAGACCTCTCCAGGCGCTGCTGGCCAAGAGCAGGATGCTGCGCCCCTCAGGCCCCATGGGGTGTCCCGCTGTCCACCCCTCCTAACCACCCACGCTGGTGCTGCCCCAAAATGCCACAGTAAAGCCAGTGCACCCCGCACTCTGCCGTCTTTCAGTCTGTGGCAGTGTCACTTTTCCTGCCCTGCATACCCCCATCCTGCCCTGATGCCTGCTCCCCCGAAGGTGGGGCGTACCACAGGACCAGCTGTGTCCCTCAGCCGTGCTACCCCTTGCCAGGACGCCTGCCCAGTCCCACTGCCCACTCCCGCCCAGCCGCCCTGCATGCACCCCGACCCAGACGACTCACATCCGTGGCGCAGCAGGGCCCGCTCCTGGAGAACAGGGGTCTGCTCTGCTCTCTGCTTACCTCCAGGAACCAGATCTGAGAAGGCAGGCCTTAGCAGGCACCCACAAGTGAAGGTTGAGGAAGAAGCCCCCGGCTACATAAAGGCCAGTGCAGGAGCAAGGTGGACAGCAGGCAGCCGTGCCAACCAGTCTGCCTACCCATGTGGAGGTGGGGCTCCCCAGCCTCCACCCAGGACTGAAGAGCCCGAGGCCCCGGCCTCTGGACACACCGCAGCTGCCGAGCTGGCCAGCCCCGCACGGCCTGAGGGGTCCCAGCTGCTAGGGGCCCACCCCTCCCCTCCTTCCTCATCAGCCAGCCTAGCAGCCTCCAGGGGGATGGGGGCAAACTTCGGCCTTTACCTCCTCCTACCCTCAAGTCATACTGCACCAGAGGTATCACCCAGTCTGGCTCTTTTGAGGGCAGGGGGCCTGAGATGGACAGACCCCCAGAACGGAGGGCCAGTCAGGCCCAGAACCGTTATCTCTTGGGGTTGGCTGTTTCAAGAGTTGTGCCTCGGCCCCTGGGACCGTGGACCCAGAGTGAAGAATGTGCCACTCAGCCCTAAACGGCACCCCACCCATGGTCTCCTGGTGACATCCTACCTTTTCCAGGCCAGGAAACAAGTCCTTCTGAGCCCTTCCACCTGCTGGCCAGCTGGACACGGCCCTCCTGAGCATGCACCCAGCTAAGTCCAGGGCCCGACCCAGGGCCACCTCTCACCGCCAAGCACAATGTGGGGGGAGGGCCTTCAAGGGCTCCATTGTTCCCCCCAGGGCCCAGGGTCTGAATCCCTGATTGTCCCTGGGGCTGGACGGGTCCCAGAGAGGGAAGCAGCCTCTCCCAGGCCACACAGCAGGTCAGGAGGCAGCCCAGGCCCGTCCGGCTGGCCCTCAGGCCTGGAGGCTGTGCAGCACCCCTCTGCCTGCCCTGTCTATCCGGGCTTAGGGATGAAGCCCAGCCTCTCTGTTCCTGCACAGGCTGTCTGCCTCCTCCCAGCCTGCATCTACCATGTCTGGGTTCCAGGGCAGGAACATGGCCTGGACATGGACCAGGGCCTAGGCAAGCATCTCCTGTGTCTAGTACTGATCCAAATCAGCTGCCCTGACTAGAGACAGGCAGCTTCTCAAGGCATCTTCTGAGACTCCAGGGCCTGGAACCCAACAGAGGCCCCCAGGCGTCCTCCCCGGGCGGGCTTCTCTGGGGCCTGCCAGATCCCCAGGGGGCCGTGCACAAGGCCCGCCGAGGCAGGCGTCTCCTCTGCAGGCCCCATCCCTCTCCAGGTAGGCAGTGTCTGCCCCTCTGCCACTCTCAGTCCAGGTCAGGTAAGGAGGAGTGGTTTGAGAAGGATGAGCCCCAGGACTTTCTGACCCCAACCTCGACGGCAACTCAGAGAGACAGCGGGAAAGGAGGTCCCGCACTGCCTGGTGGGAATCCTAGGCAAGCAGCGTGCGGCAGCGCAGGAGCAGCCTCTCTGGGGCCGGCAGCCCACAGCAACAGGCGTGAGGAGGAGGCTGCTGCCCTCCGGGGTGGCGGGTCAGAGCGGGGCTGTCCAGACTGGGGATGGCGTGGCTCTGCAACGGTGTACTGTGGACCCACCCACCCAGGGCCATGATCCAAGGGCTCAAGGACACTAACCCAGCAGTTCTTTATTTGGATGTCGGCCTGGCTTCCATGGGTAAGGGGTTGACAGGGCATGGTGGGAGGAATCCTAGAAATGCATGTGGGGAGTGGGGGTAAGAGACAAGGTCCTCCAACCACGGTGGGGGGTGAGGGAAGATGGGCAGCACCCCAATCTCTGGGTGTCAGATGAGGTGAGCAGAGCCACTGCCAGGAAACTCTGGCCCATTGGTGTGGGCGCCAGGCCCTAGGCCCCACCTGAGAGAACACAGCTGGCATCAGGACTGACCAGTTGCTTGTGCCTTCTTTATTTCCTGCCAGAGAGAAAGACAGGCTGAGGAAAGGAAGATCTCGCCCAGGGCCTGGGGCCACCATATCACCTGTCCCAGCCTGTTTTACCCGTTTGGCACACAGATGTCTGAGGCCCCAGCTCCACCCCCAGCCCACCTCGGAGAGCGCCTCCTTCAGGGCCCAGTAGGCCTTGTCCAGACTGTCGTTGACGATGATCAGGTCAAACAGGCCGGGCTCCTTGCCTGAGGGTGGGGGCAGGGTCAGCGGAATCTCTGGGAACGGAGCGGGGGTCTGGGGACCCTTCACAGGGACCACGGGGCTGGGTGACGGCTCCAGCCCTCCTCTACCCCTTGGTGGGGGGCACTGGTCTCCTGCGGGGTGTGGGGAGGGTCTAGGGGAAACAGAGTGACAGGCGCCCTCACTCACTGCTCTCCATGTCGGCCCGGGCCGCCGCCAGACGCTTGGCCAGGCTCTCCTCTGTCTCCGTGTTCCGCTGCCTCAGCCGCTGCTCCTGAGACAGAGCATGAGGTTAGAAGGTCTGAGCACCCAGGGCTGCCCCCCCACGCCCTCCCCTTCGGCCCCCACCAGGACATCCAGTGAGGGCGGCTGCACGAAGATGTAGATGGGCCGCAGGTCGGTCTTCTTGATGTTGCGGACGCCCTGCAGGTCCACGTCCAGCACGCAGATGCGGTTCATGGCCTGCACGGCCCGCACAGCGGCCTTGCTGCAGAATGAGGGGAGGGGAGTCGCTCAGCCGTGGGCGCCCCGGGTCCTAGGAGCCTCCACGGGACCTCATTCCCCATCCCCCACTCTGGGTCTGTCTGGGGGTGCCAAGGGCCTACTCTAACAGGCATCTGCTCACCGAGCAACGCTTGCATAAGGGGGCCCTCTGCTGGTCTGGGGGTGGTGGTAGGGAGTGCGTGTGAAAGGCACTCTGGTAGGAGCAGAGCCTTCAGACCCTGGCCCAGAGCCTCTCCCTCTCTTGGCACCCACCCCAGGCCCCACGCCATGCCATCATGCCTCCAGAAGTGTCTGCATTACCTTCTGGCTTGTGTCCCCAGGCTGCCAGTGGCAACCCCCTGCCATGTCCTGCATGTGAGGGCCCTGCATGGGGAGGGATGCTCTGGCCCCCACTGCGCTGCAGGACACACCCCTGGGCTTTCTTGTCTCCTGGCTGCCCTCTGCAGGCCTTGGCCCCCCACCCAGGGGTCACCAAGGACCATGTGCTCCTCACCCGTGGGGGGACTGCCCCTCAGTGCGTCCTGTGTGTCTCAACAGGGGTCAGATGACCCCGCTCAGGGGCCCACCGCTCTGCCCATCTGCACCCGGGGCAGAGGACGATGGGTCCCGTGCAGTGCCCACCTCGCCCAGCCAGGCAGCTCGGGGACCAACTGTGCACAGGGGCAGGCCTGGGCCTGCCTGCCTGAGCCAGGACACTGCTCCTGGGCCTTGTGAGTCAGATGGCAGGAGCCAGTAGAGACTCTGCTCTGGTTGGTTGTTACGGTGGAAGGGGGGCAGCTGCTGTTTTGCCAGGGACCCTTCCCAAGCCGCCCTACTGACTGGAGGCGAGGGGCCACACGAAACCTGCGGACCCCTAAGACCCAGGTCCCCTGAGTCCTCACTGTATACCAGCTCCTTGTCTGGCCCACTGTTCCCACAGCAGCCTGGACAGGGGGACACAAGTGGGGCTGGGCCCAGAGCAGGCAGCCTGGAGATTTCTGACTCACGCTCCATCGTGACCTCTAGAAGGCTGAGTCCTTGGCCTCAAGTGCCCAGACAGCCGGCAGAGAGAACACCCCAACCTCACCCCAAGGGGAGACCCCCCAGGGCCTACAGACACCCCCTGCCTGGGTCACCCACTCTTGGTCTCTGGGGGAATGAGAGGAAGGGAAGGTCCAGAGCACGGCTCACCTGGTCCCATACAAGTTCCCTGAGAACTCGGCATGCTCGATGAAGTCTCCGGCAGCAATGTCGCGCTGCATCACCTCCCTGGTCACAAAGTAGTAATCTGCAAGGAGAAGGTGCGGACGGGGAGACAGCCCTCAGGCATCACTCTGACGAGTGTCGGGCTGCTCGAGTCTTGTGCCGGAGCACAGGGGCAGCTGGCCAAGCTCACCTTTGCCGTTCTCCTCTCCTGGCCTCGGGTCCCTTGTCGTGTCTAGGAATAAGTACCAGTGATGGCCTTGGGACACCTGGAACATTACACATCCCATCCCCAGGGCCTGCCCCATGGCCTGGCTCCGCCCATCCGGAGGTGTGGGAAGGGAGGCTACAGGCTAGGGTCGGCAGTGCGGGGGCTTCTGCCCCACCATGTGGGTGGTGCTTCAGGGCACGTTAGCAAGGGTCTCTGCCCCCAGCTTCTTTAGGACCCTCCCCCACCTCCCCGGGCCTCACGGGACACGCTGAAGCCAAAGATGCTGCCATGCTCCTGCAGGAGTCTCTTCAGCAGGGTGCTCTTCCCAGCCCCCGAGGGCCCGCTCAGGACAACGGGCCTTGGTCCTGACATCCCTGTGGGGGGAGACGCAAGTCTCAGCAGGGCCTTGCTCCCTGCAGCAAGGAGGTGGGCACGCTGCTGCGCACGGCGCGGCTGCAGTGCCCAAGTGAACTCGCCCCAGCAAGGAGGCAGAGCCGGGGTACAGTCACTCAGAGCCATGCATAACCCTGCCTGTGCGTCCCTCTGGGTGGTAACATATGCACCAACCACACATGTGTGGCCTCCCCAGCTGCCCACCACTAGCCTACCTCTCAAGGAGCCTGGACTTTGGCTCCTGGGAGGGGCACATCCAGGTCCCAATTCCTGTGTCTCCTGGCACCACACCTCGGAGGTGTCCTTGGTCAAGGTCAGTGGAACCCAAGGTCTGCTCTGGGAACTTCCATTGAAAAGCGAGGGGCTAATCGCAGGGTCCCTGACTCCCCCCTGTGATACCTGGGTCTCAGGAAGCCAGGAGGAGAGCAGGGCATCACCCTCACAGGTGAGAATACCGGTGAGAATACCGAGGGCAGGAAGAGTGGAAAAGGTCTGGAGGCATCAGCTTAGCCTGCTCTATGCCCACTGGACCACCCCGCACCCCTCATATAGGACCTACCTTCTGAGCAGCCTCTGTGCTCAGCTTCGGGCTGCACTGGATGAGCTGAGAGAGTGGTAATCCTTGCCTGCCCCCCACTGTCTGAGCACTAAATCCCTCCCAGAGAAGCCAGCACCACCTGCTCAGCAGAGGGGAACGCTGCTCCTCACTTGAGAAGCGCACCTGCCTCCCCAGCCACGTGACGAGACGGGCCGAGGAAGCCTAGGTACACTGGGAGATCAGAGGACAGGAATCAAGGCAGGCACTAGACTAAGGGGCTGGGAGGCTACGCACTGCCCCAGAGGCAGGCAGAGCCCAGAAGGGCGTGTGATGGGCTGACCTGCCCCTGCAGTGCTCTCTGTGTGGAGGTCCGCAAGAAGCAGCGGTGGCCGGGAGGAACAGACTGCGTGGGCAGCTCTCCAGCAGGGCCCCCGGTGGGCACTGCTCTCCTAATCTGCAATGTAGGCCAACTTGAGTAATCTGGCTAAAGCATAGCTATTCTGGGACCATCAGGCTGCACGCAAACGCCCTAAAGAAGGACTTGGGAATCAGACATGACCACCTGCTGAGATAGAAGAAACAGATCCAGAGGAGCTCATCAGTGCTCTGCCATTTCTAAGTGACCAGCTCTCAGCTCCCTCGTCCCGTCCACGTTTCCCATCAGAATAGTGAAAGTGAAGCTGCTCAGTCATGCTCGACTCTGCGACCCCATGGACTGCAGCCCACCAGGCTCCTCCATCCACGGGGTTTTCCAGGCAAGAATACTGGAGTGGGTTGCCATCTCCTTCTCCAGGGGATCTTCCTGACCCAGGGGTTGAACCCAGGTCTCCCGCATTGCAGGCGGACTCTTTACCATCTGAGCCACCAGGGAAGCCCAAGAGTGCACTGTTTTAAAACAGCAAGTCCCATTGACTCACAACTCCTTTCTGGGGTCCTGATTTTCCCACACAGATATAGTGCCACCATACAAATGCCTACACATTTGGGTCTGACTTCAAGCCCACTGCTGTTGCCTGCCCAGGAGAGCACAGTCCCCTTGCTACCCTAAGGACTGGTGCAAGGGAAGCTCTCACTTCTGCCTCACACTGCCCTTCATAAATCCCTTCCTTTGCAGAACGAACATCCTGTGGGCAGCCCAGCCCACCCCCCTGCGTCTGTCCTGACTTTCTAGATGCTGAGGGACCAGGGTGCTGGGCGAGTTATGGGGGAGCGATATCGGAGGGCAGAGGAGATACTGGGGGTCACCAGGTCTCCTAGCAAGGCTGCTGCCTCTAGAGGGGCCCTGGAAAGGGAGTACAGAGGCTGGGGTCTGTCACCCACTGCCTGGCCTCTGGATTGCGCCGAGCCACCACTGCACACATGTCCCTGCCAACCTCGCAAGCAGGGGCAGCTGTGGCCGTTCAGCATCCTCAGTCTTCCCAGGCCCCAGCAGCACGCTGGCACCACAGGAACGTGAGTTTCTCCAGGGCAGGGGTACCACCAAAGTGGACACACGCCAGTTCTCACAAGAGACGGACCAGAAAGCCTCCCTGGGCCTTGCTTGCAGCAACAAACTCTCCACTCAGAGGATGCAGATGGCACCTTCTGGACCCAACTTGGGGCATCCACCTCCAGGGAGGGGAGGACCCATCTCACCATCTCACCTGCCTCTGAAGATTCCCCTCAGGAACACTGCTCCTTTCTACACGCCCAATCTGGCGCCCTCACATCCCACAGCCTGCAACTACAAGCCTGCCAGCAACACCCAGACGCTGTGCCTTACTGCTCTGTGCTTGCAGCCTGGCACACAGGTCCCCTCACACACTCCCCTGGCAGCTCTGCTTCCCATGCACGCGGCCACGGCTACACGTCGTGGTCATAAGCTCTAACATCTGAACACTGGAAAGCGACACAGGGAAGACATGTCTTCAGTCAGGACCAATTACTGCACACAGAAGTCCCAGCGCCTAAAACCCTCATGGGTCAAGTCTTACTCATCGTCTCACCTTGAAACACTGGTTTCCATCTGGCTTTATACCCCATGTGGGAACTCTGGGGGCAAGGACACAGCCTCTCCATCCCGCTGAGACCTCCCATCCCCCAGCCCAACCACCACGGGCAGTGAGCAGCAGGCACGTACGCACACACGGGGGACTGGCTGGCGGCTGCAGCACTCACTGCCTGCGTGGGTCATCACTGCACCCTGCCGCCTACCCCTCAGAGGGTATCCTCCCGAGGTCCCCCCTGCCCCAAAGCCCAGGCCCCAGGCCTCTTCAGAGCTGTCACCCCTGCTGCTCTTCTTCAAAGGAACACTACTGGTGACCAGGGGAGAGGGAGCCCACCAAGCACCACACCTCGAGGGGAGTGGGATCCAGCCGGCCAAGCTCGTGTGTGCGTCCATGCAGAGTCTCTCCTCTTGTGAGGTCCCTCCCTGAGGCTGTCTCCTTTCACCACAGAGGTTCGAACCACACAGACCACACTGGAGTGGCCGAGCCCTGCAGAAGGACCCGGGGGCCGCTGAGCGCTGGGCCCCGCCCAGTGACCCTGGTGACAGGAGCGCTCACGAAAGCCCCTTCAACAGGAGCGAGCTCAGCATGGGGCCGAGCTCAGGCCTCTCAGTCCCAGGGACCAAGGGCACCAGACCCCGAGACTGATTCTGGCCCCATCTCCTGGCAAAACCGACTGACAGTTAGGGACATTCTGTAGCCTCTACTCCTCGACTGTTTCACAACTGCAAACTCCAGCTTCCTGGCAAGATACTGGAAATTTTCACAAGGACACCAATAAGGATGAGGGATGCAATTTCTGTAAGAATTGCTGGTACAAGCCTGTGTGTTCTGGAATGCTCTCTGTCAGAACCCTTCACAAGGAGCTCCTCAGGCAACCCTGGGAGGTCTGCCTTGAGAAGCATTCCCTGCCCTCCCTTCTGCTTCCACCTGATTTCCCGTCCTGTCCCAAGGGCTGGGCATGGCCACCACCTCTCTCCTGAGAACCTAAGACAAAGTACAACCCTCTGGGGACACAGAGAAGGGACAGTCAGACCCCCCTAGCACTCTCGTAAAACACTAGACCTGCATTGATCTGGGTCAGGATGGCTGATCACACCCCAACCCCCAAACAGGCTGTGTGGGACAGAACTACTCTGGCCTTCGCCTCAGGCGCTCCATGTGTGGGATATGTCCTGGCCCAGTGACCTTCAGAAACCAGTTAACCTTCAAGAACCTGACTTGCAGTGGGAGAGCCAGTGGTTTCCTTCTTACTTCTCTTAGTTTCCTTCTTATTTCTCCTCTCGGTAGGGTGGGACCACGCCTTGCATGGAGGAAGCCTGGCCCTCTCAGGGAAGAGGTGGTTTCCTTCTTACTTCCTCTCACAGTAGGGTGGGACCACGCCTTGCATGGAGGAAGCCTGGCCCTCTCAGGGAAGAGGAGGTTTCCTTCTTACTTCCTCTCACAGTAGGGTGGGACCACGCCTTGCATGGAGGAAGCCTGGCCCTCTCAGGGAGGAAGCAGCCGCACTGTGGCAAGAGGCGCACAGTGCGGAGGACGTGGGCCCGTCACGGCACTACACAGGCAACACAGCGGCATCTTGGTCTCTCTCTATCAGCGAGAAGAACTGAGAGTCAGTCTCCTGTGAGAGCCTCAGTTCTAGCCCTAAGGGAAGGCAGAGGGAGCATGAGAGGAAAGGGGTCCAGGACATACAAACCATGGAGCCGGAAGCAGCCCGACCCCTTCTGGGTGGAGCAGGTTCACTCTCACCGAAGGGGAAGAAAGGACCAGCCAGGGACCAGGGAGAATCCAGGCCCAGCACACACAGGATCAGAGAGGGGCCTAGAGCACTGGGCTGGGCACACCTGGGGTCAGAGGAGGGCCCAGGAGGGAAACAGGCTGGCGCACAGCTCCAGCCGGTGGTCAGAGCCCGCCTGCAGGGCCCCGCTGCCGCACCAGGGCCCCAGCAGCTCACCCTCTGCGCCTTCCCTTTTCCCCTTGAGGACTGGGGTCACCTCCTTCCACCCCAACCACACTGTAATACCTTCCTTCCTGTTCTTCCTCAAATTCTCTGAACATGTTTCTTGAGTTATGCTAAATGCGATGCAAAAGATAGAAATTAACAGTTCAGGTCTTTAAAAAAAAAATCTGGGTATGGCTGAAGAAAAATGTACAATTTCAGAACTCCCAGAATCTACTTACTACTCAAAGAAACTTCTGATCTTCCCAGTTCCAGACAAAGGTTGAGTCAACGTGTTCTCAGACTCTAAAGGAAAGCCCAGGCAAACTACACCTGTCATGGGTGTGGCACCAACTCAGATTACAAGCTGGCCTGGTGTGTGCAGGAAAGTGTGTGAATCCTTACAAGAGAACAGAGTGAGAGCTCACGTGGCGGGAAATTCAACTTGTTAATGATCAGACTGGAGGCCACACCCACCCCATATTCCTCTCGGTGGCAACGGTTTTCCTGGGTCCCTCAGAAGGCATATGGGCTTCCCTGGTAGCTCAGACAATTACCAATCTGCCTGCAATGCAGGAGACCCAAGTTTGATCCCTGGGTGGGGAAGATCCCCTGGAGGAGGAAATGGCAACCCACTCCAGTATTCTTGCCCAAGGAATTCTACGGACAGAGGAGCCTGTTGAACTACAGTCTGTGGGGTCACAGAGAGTTGCACATGACTGAGCGACTCACACACTTCACAAGTCATGGTCTGGGAGGCGAGTGACAGAAAAGCCCACATTTGGGCAGGCACGCCACCAAGGGGCACGGGACTCATGCGTGAGGGACAGCCATGAAAAGCACATCTTGGCTTCCTGCTCCCGTCCTGCTTGGCCCCATCTCACACTGGGCCCCAACCGTCACCTCAGCTTCCACCTCCCCCACCCCAGGCTGCTGCTGCTGCTAAGTCGCTTCAGTCGTGTCCAACTCCGTGCGACCCCATAGACGGCAGCCCACCAGGCTCCCCCGTCCCTGGGATTCTCCAGGCAAGAGCACTGGAGTGGGTTGCCATTTCCTTCTCCAATGCATGAAAGTGAAGTCACTCAGTCGTGTCCAACTCTTAGCTACCCCATGGACTGCAGCCTACCAGGCTCCTCCGTCTTTGGGATTTTTCCAGGCAAGAGTCCTGGAGTGGGCTGCCATTGCCTTCTCCACCCACCCCTATGAAAGGCAGTCAAAACAAGCGAGGTGGCATACCTCACTGTTCCTCCTCAAACGAGCACCTGGGTAAAGGAGGCTTATTCCCCTTCACTGCTTCCAAAAGAATGTCTAAAAAAAGCAGATGAGCAGCTCCAGGACGGAGATTTGCCATGTCTTGTCCCCAGGGAAGCTGAACCCCAACTACCATCCCCATGTCATGTCAGGAAAGCCTGCCACCAACAACCTGCTCCCGTGTAGAAGTGCCCAAATCTGCAATGTCCAACAATGCTAGGTTGTGGGGCTGGCCAAGAAACTGTGGCAGTCCCAGGGGCCCTCCTGTCTGGGAGTCCTTGGAGCAGTCAGCTGTGCCCACTAGGACCCCGCCCTGGGTTTGCAATCTGCGGTGGGAACCAAACATAGCGCCAGAGCTGGACTACCGGGAGGGGTTTTCCTGAAGTGCGGCGTAGACTACATATTTCTACAGGCCACGTGAACTAATCAGGACTTTGGTGATTCTGCCATACCTGGGGCAACCTAAGGGCCTTCAAAACCCTGATCTCCCAGGGTTTTTCGCCCTGCTCTGTGGCCCACCTTGGAGAAGGGTGTCAAGCGGCTTTCCCTCTTTGCCCCTCCGCATCCTGCAGGGTCCACAAGGGGTCCAGCATGAAGTCCTCAGACTGCGGGGTTTTACAAACTGTTTGGAGCTTCCAATATCAGAACGATTTCCTCTTATATTTTGAGGACTGATACAGGGGAACCAGTTTTTAAATTGTCCAAGTGAAAATAATAACTACCAAAGGCAATTCTAACACAGAGACACACTGGATAAAACTTCAAAGTGAAGGGAAGCCTCCCTGAATTTAACTCCATGCAAAGACTACACTGTTCTTGTCTCCCCCCGCTCTACTTATGCTGAAACAGAGCTCTGGGAACCACTGAGGGACGCCGAGGGCAGTTTCGGTGGCTGGCGAAATGACAGAATTCACGAGCACAACCCCACGAGTCCCTGAAGGCGGCCCACGACACCCGCGCTCAGCACGGGCTCCGGTGGCGCCTCGCACGCGAGTAGCGGCGGTCTCCGCCTCTCTGCCGCGGATTCAGACCGTGACACACGGGCCTGGATCCTCCTGGGGTCTGCGCGCGCCCAGAACTCCGTCCCGCTGTGAGGGGCCGCCACTCACCGTCCGAGGTGGCCCGGCCAAGGGCGGCCGCTGCCAGCCCGGCCAGCGGGCGCCGCAGCATGAAAGGCCGCAGTCGCCGCCGCCCGGGCGGACATACGTCATATAGTCGCGCCGCGCCGCGCCGCGCCGGCCTCTCTCCGCCCCTCGGAGGCGTACGTCACCGCCGCGCCAGACCCTCCTGAGCCAGCGGGCAAGTAAGTCAGAACGGCGACGGCCTCGCAGCGCCTTGGAAGGCTGTAGGTCACCGCCGCGAGACCCTGCGCCCGCGGATGACGTCGGGGCGAAGCCACACGAGGAGTGAAAACTGAGTTTACCTTGAATGTGTACTCACCTCTGGCCAGCCCCGCACCCGTTGGCCTGTCGGCCGAGCCGCTGGTCCTCGAGGCCGCTCCGGAGCCGGTGAGGATGGCAAGTTGCTGCCAGAAAGGCGCCGCGTCGCGCGGGCTTGGAGGGCTTCCTTCAAGGGAGGGTCCGGGCCCTGCCGCTAGCTGCCCTTGAGGGTATCACTTGGGAGGTTTATAGCTTTGCGGTTTCCTGTTGAGTCATCTCCTAAGGCGGAAGGAGGCCTGCAGGGAATATAGCAAGGCAAACCTGTTTATCTCGACAGGGAGGGCTCTTTTCCTGGGGTCTTAATGCTTGAGACATCAGGTATACGACATTTGAAGGAACTGGTTTATCACCGCGGAAACCTCAGTTTCCCTGGGAGTCAGGGCTTAGTAAGCTGCGGCTGCTCTTTGGTAATCCTCACCTCGCTGGATTTTGTGAGAATGAAATGACATTGGAAAACAGGTATGAGCTAGTTGTCACCGTTTACGTTGCATTCCATCCTCAGAGTGACTTGTCTGACTCAGTAACCCACCAGAATGGGCCCAGGCCCTGCTGCAGACAGTTTATTGAGTCAAAGTTTTGGGGAGTAGAATTGAGGCATCTGCAGATCAGAGACGTTCCACAGATAATTCTAATGCCAGGTGAGGGCTGAAAGCCTCATAGATTGTTTGGGCAACACTTGCACTGACCTGCTAAAATCTGTCTGAGATGACTTTGTTCCTGCCTGGGATTTGTTAAGAACCGATTAGGTGGAAAATCCTGTCTTTTAAAAAGATCTTTTATTTCCTTGCCTAGCAGTCGCACACTGGACCAGTGAATGACCCTAGGCCTTCACGTGCAGCAGGGGCTCTCAGGAGGAATGGCGGCCCAAGGCAGCCTGCTTCGGTAAGCATGGACTTCCAGGCCCTTTGGGACTCCTATAATGGGGCCACCGGAAAAATCCTGACTCAACAGCCTTAGGCTTTGCAGCCTTAGTAAAGTCTCCAGAGCCAGCGTGTTTTATCTGGAGAAGTACATACAAGTACATATTTGTGGGGGTTTCCCTGGTGGCTCAGTCAGTAAAGAATCTGCCTGCAGTGCAGGAGACCCAAGTTTGATTACTGCGTCAGGAAGATTCCATGGAGAAGGAAATGGCAACCCACTCCAGTATTCTTGCCTGGGAAATCCCATGGACAGAGGAGTCTGACCGCTATAGTTCCTGGGGTGGCAAGAGTTGGACATGACTTAGCGACTAAATCACCACCACTACATACGTATGGACACCTTAACCATGTTGAAGGAGGAATGGAAGTGGCTTGTGAGTACCTGGCACCAAACAGATGTGGTGGTGGCCACTGTCCTATTCAGAGCCTGCAGGCCACCCCTGGAGAAGACCATGACCTTCCTGCGCTTCCCACCAGAACTGCCTCCCCATCTGCATTATCCTCTCTTCCCCTGATCTACCCAAGTGAATGCTGATGGAGGAGAGAATGAATGCAGGTTTTAAATTGTTTCTGTGGAACCTAGGAAGAGGGATGTAGCACTTGAGCTGTGGGTTAGTATGAAGATGGGGAAGGGACTTGGTTGAAAAATTCCCAGGAGGGCCCTTGTGCTGGAAAAGGTCAAGGTGAAAACGCAACCAACGGCCCGGGGGGAAAACAATCAACCGTTCCCCCCAAAGGGTGGGTCCAACCCCCTCCAGGAGCCTCCTGAATCACCAACCCCAGATTGTCTGGAATGGCTGTGCCCTGAGCTCCGTGGTATTGCTTAGGTACAGGCCCTGCCCAACTCACTGTGGGTTCCTCTGGTGCTGGAGTTCACCCACTTCTTTCTCCAGTCTTGCATTTCTGGAGGATTTTGCCAAAATTTACTGAGCACTCAGCTAGGGAGAGTCTGGGGCTTCATAGCAAGTAAGATGCAGTTCTCTCACCCCAGGCCATCAGACTAGTGGAAGAAATGGGCTATCAGTCTGAGGTGTCAGCTGGAAATTGCAGGGAGGTGGCAGGAACCACAACCAAAGCAGAGGCTGCCATTCTCTGGCTGTGCATGGCCTGTGGCTGCTTTGTGGAGAGAGAAGTCCTGAAATTCTGGTGGGAGCTACTGAATTGATGTGAATATCAGGAAACAGATGGACTGAGGTACAGTCTGCGGTTTGGAATTCAAGTTTGTACGAAAGCAGGCTGGAAGAGACTCTGTGTGTTGGGGGGGCAGTGTCACAGGGCAAGGTTAGGACGGGGAAATCCAGGTCCTGAGTGGATGAGAGAAATGTGGCCTCACGTAGCTGGGTTGAGTGGGGCGTGAACAGGCCCTATTCTGTCACCTTAGAGCATGCGCTCTGCTGTGTGCCCATCACACTCAGAAGCAAAGTGGACCAGGTGTCCTAGTCGGCTTGGGCTGATCTAGCAGAACACCACAGACCAGGCAGCTTAGGAAAACTGGAAGTCTGAGATTAGGGTTCCAGCAGGATTCTGATGAACCAGGTTCCTGGTTCAGAGATGGCTGCCTTTGGTGGTGTCCTCGTCTGGTGCAGAGAGTTAGCTTTCTGGTCTCTTCTTCTAAGGGCACCAATCATACTGTGGGGACCCCACCATCATCTAACCCTAATCACCATCCAGAGATCCCACCTCCTGACACCATCTCACTGGGGTTAGGGCTTCAACATGTGAATGGGGACGGGGTGGACTCAAATGGCCAGTTCACACCAGGTTTGCAGTCCCCTGGACGTCAGCTTCCCATTCAGTGCTATAGTCTAGCACCCTAGCCATGGGGTCAGGCCTCACTAGAGACCCACCAGGGTTCTGGATGTGGAATGGAGCTGCTCTGACCGACCACATCCTGCCCTGGTGCGTGTTGCTGTGTGCCCCCTTAGGAGCTGGGCTGTGTGGCCGCTCTGGTCCTGGCACCAGCCACTGACCAGCATGTGTGTGTCTGCAGCCTGCTCTGGCATCATGGGATGACAAGGGCTGCCCCTGAGAGCTGCCGCCACCTGTATATGTCCTCTTGGCGGGCTGATTGCAACAGAGCCTCGCTCACTCGAGTGCGCCGGCAGACCTACGCACGCCTCTACCCTGTTCTCCTGGTCAAGCAGGATGGTTCCACCATCCACATCCGCTATCCGGAACCTCGTCGGATGCTCAGAGTAAGCTTCCTTCCCCGACACTCCCTAGGATCAGGTCCTGGGAGACCTAGCCTGTAGAAACTACTCCTCCAGGAGCTCATGGGCTTAGAACCCACCATGGCTGGACTAGCAGGGAAGTGAATCAAGTCAGAATTTTTGGTTGAGGAGAGGGCAGAAAGTGACCTGGAGTGCACTCCACAGACCAAGGTGAGAAAGCAGTGAGCTGTATGGTTGAAAAAAATGGCAAGTCTTGGGAAAACAGGCAGAGAAAGTTGAAAAAAAAAAAATGAAAGTTTTGAAGGGAGAGAAAACCCATAGAACACATAAAACCTAAACTGCGTGGTAGATGATAACAAGGTGAAGTGAAGACCCTGGAATACATCCTGGTACCCTCCACCTGAGCCATGTACACACCCCGTTCTCCCCACAGATGCCTGTGGACCTGGACTCCTTGTCCCCAGAGGAGAGGCGTGCACGATTGCGAAAACGAGAGGGCCAGCTCAAAGAGAAGGAGGAGGAGCCAGAACTCGGTGACGACTTCGATGTGGAGCGGTACAAGCAGTTCTGGACCAAAAAGTGATGGTGCCTGGAAGCTGCTGTGTCCTAGGGAACGCTGTGAAGCAGGGAGGGGCACGTGTCTTTAAATCATGAGTTGAGGATGCTGTCTCTTGTGAAAAGATCAATACAAAAAGGACATTCAAATAACACTCTTGACACTTTGTTGTAAATCCCTCAGAAACCCCTACCGTTTCAATTCAGGGGTTGGCTAGTGGAGTGGCATCCCTCCACCCACTAGAATTGTTATCATTGAGTCTAATCTGGTCTGCTGTGATGATAAACAGAACGCACTTGCCCAACAACTAGCTCACTTTAGTTCGGATACTGACCCATCAGCAGTGACTGCCAACACCTTGGGGGTGACTGAGGCATTCTCCGCGCTGTCTGGGGAGTGAACGCAACGAGGTGTGCTTGCATACTTCCTCGGAAAGTAGACACAGCTGGTCCCCCAGAGGGCGGAGGCTGAGCGTTGCAGGCACGACCTGACCTTGGCCGCTCTCCTGTCTCCCAGGCAGCCCGCTACCTGATAGAAACCTCCATCAGCTCTAGTTGGAAACTTTCAGTCGTTATCTCTCTGGTGCCTACCCCTCCTCCAGCACAGCCCCGGGAACACGGCAGGCAATGGGAACTGTAGCTCTGCGGCGTCACCTACATAATATGATTTATAAAATTGTCGGTCTTGGCAGCGCGATGCTCAGGTACAGCCGCACCTTTCGCGAGTGCAGATGCCGGGTCGCGTCAGTGCGCAGGCGCTCTGGCTAGGATGCCTGGGGCGGGGGAGGGGGACAGTGCGCAAGCGCGTGGGGTTGGCGCGGACGTGACGTCACCGTGTGCGACGTGGGAGTGGGAGCTGGGACCTTTAGGGCCTTGGTACCGGGAATCCCGGGGAGAGGTCCTGCACGTTACCACAATGTTCGGCTCCAGCCGGGGCGGCGTGCGCGGCGGGCAGGACCAGTTCAGCTGGGAGGATGTGAAGACAGACAAGCAGAGGGAGAACTACCTGGGTGAGTGGGGCGCAGGGACCCGGAGCTCGCGGGCTGTGGGTTCGCCGATCCGCGGGCCGTGCAGAGGGCTTGGCGCTCTGTTCCCGCAGGCAACTCGCTGATGGCCCCAGTGGGCCGCTGGCAGAAGGGCCGTGACCTCACTTGGTACGCCAAGGGCCGGGCGAACAGCGCTGGACTGAGCCGGGAGCAGGAATTGGCGGCTGTGAGGCAGGCGGAACAGGAGGCGCTCATGGCAGCGCTGTGAGTGTGCCTCGAGACCTTGAGTGGGGAGGCGGCGGCGGTGGGGTGGGGGTGTTACTTCTGGGTGGGTGCGCGGCGGGGGTGGGTGGGACCGCGGCGTGGCTGGGGGAAGAGACGAGGCGAGGCTCGCCGCTCCCTGAAGCTCACGCGCGGCCCCCGCAGAGGCTACAAGAACGTAAAGAAGCAGCCCACCGGCCTGAGCAAGGAGGTGAGATGGGCTCTTTTGGAGGGTGGGGCTGGGTTGGTGAGGGGGCTGATCCCGCTCTCCAGCGAGCACGGCACTCCCCTCCACAGGACTTTGTCGAAGTTTGTAAGCGGGAAGGTGGTGACCCCGAGAAGGGAGTGGACCGGCTTCTGGGTCTGGGGAGCTCCAGGTGCGGGGCCGGGTTGGGGGGGTCCTCGGGAGCCCCGGAAATCGCGAGGGTGAGGCTTCTTGGGGCTTGCACCGTCAGCTGCCTAGGTGGAAACCAGTGCGGGTCGTCTAGGCCAACCACTTCTCTAGGGAGGCCTGGGGATGGGGGGCGGTCCTCGTCGTGGGGGTGTTTCACCATAAAGAGTATTTTACCCACGTCCCCGCAGTGGCTCTGTAGGGCGAGTGGCGCTGTCCCGGGAAGACAAAGAGGCCGCTAAGCTGGGGCTTTCGGTATTCACGGTAATTACTCCCAAACATGCTGGATCTCATGGTGGGGTGGGAATCGGTCTGAGCGCCTCTTCCAGTTGAGGGCCACGAGGCAGGCCCTTGGGGAGGCCCGCCCAGCTTCTAGCTGGTTCTCCCCTGTCGGTATGCCGGGGCACCCTGCACGCCCCCAGAGTGGCATTTCTCGGCAGCACCACCGCGTGGAGAGCAGTCGGCCAGGGACCTCCTTGGCTTTGGCCAAGAAGAAGCCTCGGTCAGAGGAGAAGGTGGAGCCGGGGTAAGGGCCCCCAGGGCACAGAACTCCTTTCTCTCAGCATGTTGGCTGCTTCTCCAGTCACGCTCCCAGCTCCAGCCCCCTTTTTCTTCTGAGGAGCCTTGGGGTGCAGTGAGCCCCAGGGAAGGCTCATGACGGCCCACCAACCCACAGCAGGGTCAGGGGCACTGGAGTGTCAGCACTTGGCCCCAAGAGTGCAGGGGCATCCCAGTGGGAGGGCTGGAAGCAGCTATGAGATTGTCAGGTAGGTGTTGCCCTGCAGACCTTTTGCCATAGTTGTAATGTGTCTGTGCCGCTGGCCGCACGTAGTACTGAGTTATTCTTGGTGACTTGAGGTTGAAATGGCTACACATGGTCAGCAGCTACTGTGGTCTAGGCCCCCAAAGTCCTAGGGGCTTCTAGCACTCAGGCATTCCCCCTTGTAGTCCTGAAAGCCACAGGAAGAGCAGGAAAGAGAAGAAAAAGAAGAGGCACAAGAAAGAGAAGAGGAAGAAAGAAAAGGAGCGTGGGAGAAGGCTGGACTCCTCACTGCCCCCTGCCCCCGGCCAGTAGGTGCAGCTGCCTGGGGTGGAGATGAGGGTGTGCTTGGCACGCCAAGCCCCTCACCCCAGGCGTCTTGTGGTCTCCCTAGGCGTGACTCTGACTCCTCAACTTGCTGCAAGAAGCGCAGGCATGACAGCGACTGAGGCCCAGGGGTCTGGAGGACTGGCCTGTGGGGGTTACCCCAGGCTCCCAGAGAGGCTTGCAAGTCCCTCAGTCATGTCCGACTCTGTGACCCCATGGACTATAGCCCGCCGGGCTCCTCTGTCCATGGAATTCTCCAGGCCAGAATACTGAAGAGGCTTAGTTGTGGCCCAGTATGGCTACTGCTATTTTTCTTTGTATTGACTCTTTGTACTTAAATAAACTTATTTTAAGTGGAAAGTGTCTTATACTAAAAGGAAACTTGCTGTTGTGTCACAACAGAAAGTGGTGTGTGAAAATGCAGTAATCTTGGGAGTTCCAGCAAGGCCGCCTGCAGCCACACTGAGGGGCACTGTCCTTTTGGTGGTCAGCATCCTGGGGTCCCCTGCTGGCCTGGTCCCTGCATCTACTTCGGGTGTACCAAGAGCCCTGGATTATGTGTGGTCAGCAGGGAGCGCAGAGGGGCCGAAAGGTGCTCAGCTGCAAGCAGGTGACGTGCGAGAAGGGGGCAGTCTGGGCTGGTAGGTCATGGGGACGTGGACTTCCTAGGCCACCAGAGATCTCCTAACCACCATCCCACACGTACTGCCCCGCCGCCAGCTGTAAAGGCACTGGCTCCCGCCACCCGGTGCCCATCTCCAAGGCTGAAGGCACATACAGAACCTTGCCATCCACAGGAAAAAAAAAAAAAATTCTACAAACCACACTGGGATAAAGACAAAACCTAGACTGGATTCATTACCGAGGTTCTTGTTTTGCTGCTGATTTTAAAAGAAATGAGAACTGAAAGCAACTCTCTTAAAGGCAAGTGGCACTGGTTATCAACCTGTTAGAGATCACTGTCTAGGGCAGGGCCTGTCTCCTGGGGGAAGGCCACCTGGACTTTGGCCTGCTAAAGGCCGCCCCAGTGGGGAAAACAAGGGTTCCAAGAAGGGCTCCAGGTCAGAGGGGCGACCCCTGCAAAAGTGGGAGGGGGGTCTATGGCACAGACACACAAATCACCCAGCCACGCATGTGTCGACTACTGTGGCAGCAACACTGGAGATTGTCCTGCCCCTCCAGAGGACAAGCTGTATGGCCTGGGGTACCAGAGAGACTGGATGTTAGGAAGGGGGGGTTTCTTCCATACCACCCTTGGCCCTGGCCCATACCCTGCTGTTCCTCTCGTGACTGGGTACTGCAAAGCCTGGGACCAGGGGGCTGGACTGCCAGCAATGAGACCAATGACGTGGTTACCACAAGGGCGCTGGGACTTACACCCAACCACGGCAAAGTGAAGGTGAGGGTGTGGGCAGGGAAGGGATGGGCAGAGCAAGAGAATGGGGCAAGGCAGAGCAATGCAGCCCTCACTTAGTGAGGAGAAAGTGGCTGTCCTTGCCCAGCTCCCAGAGGGCAGGCTGTCAGGGGCACCCAAACACAGGAGAGCCATGAAATAGTTAAGAGATTTTATTCTAATAGCTGTAATTACAGTGCTTGTTTGTCGAAATGAAAACTGAAAACAAGTATACAAAACAGTTGATTACTAATTGTGTATTGAAAGCAGTAAGAGGTTCCACGACACCAAATAAACCAGTTCTGAGGTTTTCCCCAAGATAAAGTTTAACAGCTCCAGCTTCTTCAGTGTTTATCAAAATACAAAAGAAAAAAGTAGAGGTTATCATTTTCAATGGCAAATCTGACCCTTGCAGGCTGAGGGAGTGAAAGCACATGTAGACAGGGGCTCTGAGGGGCTGGGGCTCAAGGATGACCACCCGCACTCCTGCTGGTGAGACCCCAGAGAGCCCGGAGCAGGCAAGCAAGGGGACTGCAGGACTCCCGCTCCAGCCAGGGTGTTCCAACCAAAGTGCCCATGCTGACCCGAGAAAAGGCCAGGGTTCTTCCAAGGGGTCTGAGAACGGTGGCTGCAGCCTCCACCCCATCTCCTAGGCGGCCATGTATGGGGTGTGGGATGACCCGAGACAGAGCAAATCACAGGGACCCTATTGTGACCATGCAGAATGGATGTCATGGCTGGTTCTGCCCCGTTTCATGTTTCCAACGGGAAACAGACCACCGGTGGACTGGACTCAGGCCGTTGCCGCAGAACCTACATTAGGCACATTTCTCCCTTCTGTGTGTTCAAGTGTTCTCCTTATTTTGTATNCCCCCCCCCCCGCCCCCGTTCAGACCTCCAGCCCTGGGAGGCTGGCTGCCTGACAGGCACCCCCCACCAGCACACAGGGTAGCTCAGTCACACGTACCTGTTTGTTAGCAAACACGAGCAGAACGGCGTCCCTGAGCTCATCTTCTGCTAACATCCTCATGAGCTCCTCGCGGGCCTCATTCACACGCTCTCTGTCATTGCTGTCAACCACAAAGATGAGACCTGCAGAGGGGACAGTAAGCGTGAGCACAGGCGCTCAGACACCCCGACCCCAACTCCTGAGGGGTGTAATGGGGTAGCTCACTCTTACCTTGTGTGTTTTGAAAGTAGTGGCGCCACAGAGGCCGGATCTTGTCCTGGCCGCCCACGTCCCACACAGTGAAGCTGATGTTCTTGTACTCCACGGTCTCCACGTTGAAGCCTGGAGGAGACCTGGGTGAGCCTATCCCCAGAGGCACCACCACCTCCCAGCCTCCCAAGGCCCAGCGTCCTCACCAATAGTAGGAATGGTGGTCACAATTTCACCCAACTTCAGTTTGTACAGGATGGTGGTCTTTCCCGCAGCATCTAGGCCCACCATGAGAATGCGCATTTCTTTTTTGCCAAAAAGGCCCTTGAAGAGGTTTGCAAAGATATTCCCCATGCTGCAGACCGGTGGGAGCAACACTGGCCAGAGAAACCTGCAGGAACAAGGAGTCCTGGGGTTTTTTCTGTGCTGCCCAGGGCCAGGCAAGCAGGAACAGCTTGGAGACCACTCACCCACAGCCAGGCTGACGCAGCTCCTCCTATATCACAAGGCACAAACTGATGAAAGTCTGGTTCCTATCCAAAAGAAAACAGTCCTGCCCACCTACCTCTTGAGCCTCTAAATCACTCTTACAAGGCAGCATATGGGAATCTTAGAACAAGGCTGACTGGAATTTGAAGCAGTTGCTACCTTTATCTGAGGAACTTACACCCAAGGCCTTAGGGCAACTTACCTCTAAAGTCCTTCAACTTGCCACTCTGGGGCACAGTAAGTGTGGCTTTCAAATGAATGCTAGATTCTCCATAATCTAATACAGAGTTCTTCAAGGGGCCAGAAACAACCACTTCAAGGCCCTACCATGTCTCCCAACTGCTCCAAGTCTCAATGAAACAGAGTTCCATGGTAAGACAACTAATACCCGAGAACCTAGGAGGGCCTGGCCGAGACCAAGAGCCAACCCTTCCTAACAAGCTGAGAGCTCAGCACACCCTGTAGGCAGACTGGGTGAGTGAGAACACCGGGGCTCAAGGGGCGCACACCAGGGCATTCAGTCCAAGGCTGAGCCCACAGCATGGCCGTGTTAGGGAACACTTTCCTGAGACCTGTGGTCAGCGCTGCTCCAGAGAGAAGGCCTGTGTGGTGCAGCCACAAGTGTGCAGAAGAATGTGTGCTGTGTCTGGGCTCCCCAGCCTTTCCTCACTCAGCAGAGCAGCCTGGGAGCAGTCACTGAGCGGACTGGACCCAAGGTCAGAGCGCAGGCCCCAATACCCAGACCTGCAGGAAGGGATAAGTGATCACAGAGGAGGGGATCTCCTATACTGTAAGACCCACAGGGCACCAGAGGTGCCCAGATGTGGCCTCTCCACACTCAGTACATTTATCCTTCAACTGTTTTGTTTCCAAACAAGGCTTTAGGAAAAAACAGTCACTTTCTCAAATGCTTAGGAATCTGGACTTAGCACCTAAGGTGAAGTCAATCTGTGGAGGGCTGAGCAGCCTTCAACTGGGCAGATTCTGTGTGAATGTTGACAGAAAACCAAATGAACCACAAAGAGCTTGTCCTAAGCTGATGGGAGATGCTCACACCTGATCACTGGGAGGGTGCTGGTGGAAGCTATTGTCAAGGTTGGGAAGGAGCCTTGCCCTGCATACCTAACCCCCCAGAAGTAACTATGAGCTCCCCAGTGTTTGAACTTTGGATGGACACTGCTTGGCTGAGAGGCCAGGCCCATGGAAAATGCAGAAATGGGCCTGCCACAGGCACTCCCCTCTCCATTCGGCCTAGGGGGTGTGCCCCAGATCCCCACCACCCCAAGTCACCTCTGATGACAGGCCGGGTCTCCATCGTAAGTTCCTTTCTGCCTTAGTCATCAGTGAGCATTTGGGGACTACATACATGTTCCGCTCCTCATCCAACTTCCACCCTTTAGTTTCAGCATTCTGACATTTCCTGGCTGAATTACTGCCATGAGGACTGTCCGATGGTGGTTTTCTATGGAGTCACTCCTTCCAGCTTTAGTTAGCCGTCTACCCAAGGAACCAGCGCCCTCTTCTCCGCCTACTGACACAGTGTGGACCAGGAATCCCTACTGCTCAGTGGGTCTCCACAGTGGGGTGCAGATCACCGCTCCACTGTGACCCAATGTTCCAGTGCTCTTAGGGGCAGCCAGTGGGGCCCCTTCGAGCAGGCTTCGGGGCACTTTCAACATTTTTAAATGGTTCTTGGTTTTGAATAATATTACCTATTAATAAAATTAAAATTTAAAAAGATCTTTACTACGGTATTTCCTTTTTGGCAGACAACCATTTTTCCTAAACATAGAGGATGATAAATTATGGAAAACAGGAGAAGGAAATGGCAACCCACTCCAGTATTCTTGCCTGGAGAATCCCAGGGGCAGGAGCCTGGTGGGCTGCCGTCTATGGGGTCTCACAGAGTCGGACACAACTGATGTGACTTAGCAGCAGGAGTCAAACTTTATTCTTTTGCAAATGTATAACTAGTTGTTCTACCACCATTTCTGTTTGTGGAGTGTGTAAATTTAAGGTGTAAATCGTGTTGCTTCAGTGAGTGCACATATTACAATATGTTTGCTCTTCTGATATTTATCACATCACTTACCTGTAGTGCATTATTATTATGTCCATCAAACCTGACATTAAATCTCAAAAAAAATATGGAAAACAGAATGAACTGAACGCATATTTATCTCAGCTTATTCCTGAAGTCACTACCACACTAAAAGGACAGAGAGAAGGGGGTACAATTCTGGTGGGGTCTGACCCTGACCAAGCACTCATCCTCAGCCCTGCAGGAGAGCCAGGGGACCTCTTTGGAGCAACTGAGCCAGAGGTCCTGACTCTGCGCTCCAGTCAGAGGACGGCACAGTGCTCTGGAAACAGAGGCACACTGCCCCCACAGACCTGCACATGACACACGGAGGCCTCAAGGCTGGGACTTAACTCTGACACCTGGAGGCCCCCAAACATCCATGCCCCATCTCCCTGTAAGAAGCCCCCAATGGAACTGACTGAAACAAAGAATCTGGAGAGAAGCAAGACAGAAGATAATTTAAAGACAAAACCCCCAACCCACACACAGCCCTGGCATCAACGTGGTGGGGATCTGGTGCCCATCAAACGAGAACAGGACATTAGGACAGACATGGCAGAGCTCACAACCAAAGTGAAAAAAAAAAACCCACACACACACACACACAAGAACCTCAAACACAGGGAAACTAGGAGCAATGTAAAAGACCAACATCTACTTTGGGTATGGTGATGACTTTTTAGACACAACACCAAAGACATGATCCTATGAAAGTAAGAACAGCCATTCTGAAAACAGTTTGGAGGTTTCTTACAAAGCACTCTGAACATGGAACTCAGCACTCAAGCTCCCAAAGGGGCTGCAAACAAGCAATCACACAGACACCTGTACACTGATGTTCACAAGTCTTATTCATTATTGCCACAATCTGGAAGCAACCATAATGTCTTTCAGTAGGTGAATGGATAAACTGTTGTTTGGTAAATCTAAATAGAATGTTATTCAACACTAAAAGAAAAGTGCTATTAAGACATGGAAAGACACAGATAAATGTATATTATTATCACAGTATAAATGTGCATTAAGTGAAACAAGCCAATCTAAGAATACTATACAGTGTATGATTCCAACTACGTGACATTCTGGAAAAGACAACTGTGGAGAGAGTAGAAAGATCCATTCAGTGGTTTTGAGGGGTTAGGAGGAAGGGAGGATGAATAGGTAAGAGCATAGGGCATTTTCAGGACAGTGAAACTATTTTGTGTGATACTATAATGGTTGATACATGTCATTATACATTTGTCCAAACCTAGAGAACGCACAATACCAAGAGTGAACCCTAAGATAAACTGTGGGCTCTGAATGATGATGTGTCAACGTAGGTTCATCAACTGTAACAAACTCTAGTGGGGGACACAGTGAGGAAGACTGTGTGTGTACTGGAAATCTCTGTGCCTTTCCCTCAATTATGTGGTGAACCCAAAACTGTTCCCTGCAAAGAAAGACACAAACACTGCTTTCCATCTGTAGCTCTGTGTCAACCGAAGCATGGACTCGGTGAAAGGGCAGGACAAGGAGGTCACAAGTGCAAAGTCTCACACACGCCTGTCTCCAGGTTGCCACAGGCAAGGCCAACACCTCTATCCCCGCCTAAGGTGACAGAGGGGACGCAGAGGAAGGCCTGAGCAGCAGCCAGCCCAGGAAGGAGGAGAGCTCCAGGAAGAGGAGCACGTTACCCGTGTGGTTTAAACACGGGGCTCAGCAATTCTAAGGAAATGGGAAAAAATAATGACAAACATCCAGGAAAAAACCCAAAGATGAAAATGAAAAGAAGTCATTTTAAGACTTCCTGAGGGAAAACATAATAAGCCAGTCACCACTTGACTCAGCAGTGAATAATATTTATTTAGTCATGATACTCTGACTGGCACTCCTGGGTACCGGGAAGTCAAGGACAGAACTTGTGGTCTCAAGGGCCAACCTTCAGTGTCCAAAGCTGACATACTGAGAGACAGTATTAGCACCCTAGTCAGAACAGTAAGGCATAAAGGGGCTACCCCTGGGAAGCAGGCTGGAAGACTGCTGTTTCCATTTGTTTTAGCATTAAGTTCATACACACGGACACAAAAACCTGGGCACTAAGGAGTGAAACCGTTTTTCTGTACTTTCCCAACCCCTACACGGCACTGATGGCACGTCCCAGGTTAGGCTGGGCCCAGCAGCAGGCCCACACCCGCACAGCAGCCCGAAGATGTAGCCAGCCACAGCCACAGCCGGCCAGGGCCTCCTCCGCCCCCCACCCAGCCCAGCACGTCTGCCCACTCACGCTCCCTGGCCTGCCTTGGCCCTGGTCGGCTGAGCCCTCATGATCCATCTGGCCCCTCCCTCCACAGTTTTTCAACTTACCCAACTCCCGCAGCCCCAGAGGGAAAGTGGGCCATATATTTGGTGGCTGAGCCTAGATGGGGATGAGCAGGAACTCTGGGCTTCCCTGGTGGCTCAATGGTAAAGAATCTGCCTGCAAGATGCAGGTTTGATCCCTGGGTCAGGAAGATGCCCTGGACGAGGGCATGGCAACCCACTCCAATATTCTTGCCTGGAGAATCCCATGGATGGAGGAGTCTGGTGGGCTACATTCCATAGAGTGGCAAAGAGTCAGACACGACTGAAGTGACTGAGCACACAGCACAGAACTCCAGGAGACGCTACACACAGCACCTGGTTTCTCCCACCGTGCAACCCATCTAGCTACATCCGCCCTGCACCTGGTCCAGGGACCCTGTCAACTCCTAATCTAATACAGTATGTGTCGCAGTGGAAAGGTTCAACAGGGACCACAAGAGTTGTTCTGTGGCCTCTCTATACAGGTTCTAACCTTC